GTCGGACATACTTACTCCGAAATCACAGATGTGCTGAGTGGTGTGCCCCAGGGGGTGTCCTCTCTTCGATTTTATTCAATAGTTCAATATTTTTACCTCAGAGATACCTAGCTTGTTCGATGGTCTGAATGTTAGAAACAAGATGTATGCCGACGATGTTAAGATCTATAAGACTACATATAACTCAAACTGAGGATATTGAAGATCTCCAGCAAGCTATCACGCGTCTCAATGATTGGACTAAGCTTTGGCAGCTCCCTTTAGCTCCACATAAGACAATGTGTATGAGGATTGGGGCTTCACCAGAGGTTGCCCTCCATCCGTATGTACTGGATGGGGTCACGATCTCCCATGTGGATGTTGTCAGGGATCTTGGTTTTACCTACACTAATACTCTTGACTTCTCCACTTTTAAGGACTTCCCTCGAAGTCTATACTCCTTCGTGCTTACAAGACGTACATCCGTCACTTTGTGGAGTCCGGCGCTATTGTGTTTCACCACATTAGGAAAGAAGATGCTGAAGCAATAGGAAAAGTGCAAAACAACTTCACACGCAAAATCCTACTCCGAACTGGAAGTTTTCTCTATTCTAGGATTCCTAAGGCCGCCATTCGGAATAGGTATTTCAATCTATCCACTCTTGAATCACGGCGTAAAGTGCTTTAAGTTTCGCGCTGGAAGTTTATTCAACAAAGTGACTAGGAGTTTCGTGCTTCCAGTTTCCTCAAAGGTGTTTAAACAATACGTAACTGCAGCATTATCCAAAGCCCCAACCTCCTAGTTCTTTCAAATTAATCGTTCTGTTCTTCGTGGGTGCATAGGTTTGGATGAACTTGTTTGTTGCTAATTACGAATGTTTGTGTTTTGTGTTTTGTTTTCTTGTTGCTTCTTATGGTAATTTTCTAGCTTTTCTTGCGTTTGCCTTAGCAACGTAATAAACACAACATAACATAACATAACAAATCCAAAACACTCGACCTGGCAAACATATAGGCCCATTAGTCGCATCTGCGCAGCTGGATGATCCCTTTCAACTGATGGTTCAGTAGAGGTGAAATTGTCGTCCATACGATCCCGTCCAAAACTCAATCAATCTCAACCTCTCCGCTGTGCAGGCTCTGTGCATCTGAGTTCCAACTCGTGTTTCACTCACTTTGACATAGATGCTGTGATAACCCTGCTTTTCGCAAAAGGACTGCTGCGATATTCGCGAAAACTATCAACAAATGTTTAACTAGGGCGCAAGGTCCGTTCATATGGTCACCTCCCCAGCAGGGTACTCGAACCCAAGTAGATTGGCACACTCTCGGAGCACCTCATTCATAAAACGTCGATAGATTTCCCGCAGCCCAACTACAGCGCTTTCCCCTAATACTTCATATCGTCGTAATCGGCGATAGAAAGGGTCACATTCAGGAGCTGTTAGCGATCTTTTATATGTTTCTTTCACTAAGAGTCTATAAGGGCGTTTATGCTTTCATTTCAAACAATGAGACCCACTGAGAGCATAATGCGTCTTAGATTACTTCTATGGCCTCAGTATTTGTTACGTACTGTGTAGAAAATTTTAGTGTTTTATAAAAACCTAGATTTCTGATGTAGCGTGGAAAGGAATTCGGCTAGGATACGGTAAGGGGAGAGAGACCGAATTGTATGTAGATATCGCATTAGGGTAATAAATATGAGTGAGCTACTATAACGCTAAGTACCTATGTCTGAGTGTGTTGCTCGAAATGTAGACATGCTTGAAGGCACAGTTCACGATGACTGCGGAGTATCCAGTTCTCGACGAACGATGAGAGCAATAATCCAGAATAGTGCAAAGATGACGAGGAAAACGCGAAAAACCGCGTAGAAAAAATATGAGGCTTCAAAAAAGAGTGGAATAGGGGATTGGACGAGATTGTGATGGCGTGGCGTGTTTGGGCGAGCTGTCCGCAGCGTCTGCCATTACGTGCAGCTTATTTAATAAGCGGTGATTAAACGGGTAATCTTTTCTTACTATTCTGCTGCATTGTGGATGGACATTCTGATGCGTCTAAGCATCCAATAGATCCGAAAGAAGATATTTTACGCCTTCACCTTGAATACCCCCTCACCACTCGGCGATCAGCTTATTAGGTGCTGGACGTATCGGTCCTGGCGCGAATGACGCAACTTGTATCAACTATTCTGACATGACATCGGTCGATGGGCGTGGGCGTCGACGAATCAGGTAGTGGCGCTCCTATTAGGCCCTATTTATTGTTTTTGGGCCCGACAGCGTAATTTGAGTCACTGTGTAATCCCGAAAGGATGTCTTAGAAACCATTTTCATCGCAAACTGTGCCTTTGGAAGATGTTGACTCTTTTTGTTTTTATTTCAAACGCGTAAACAAAAACTCGGAAAAGTTTAGAAATTTCCAAAGAACCACTCAAGGAGAAAGTTTTAAAATCTATAAATAAAAAGTTTAAGTCTCACCTCAGGTAAGCCAGCATAGCCTGCAATAGGGGGAAAGGAACGGAGGAGCAATGTCTGTAACCATAAATTATACTATTATGTTGATCAAAAAGTCTTGATAGGGTTTTCTGAAAAGTGCGGAACTCTCGTTTTTCGACCTATATCTATAATCTATGGTGTGATAGTTGTAGAACATTTGGGAAGCTTATTCGCAAAAGGTATATAGGGGCGCGTGCGCCTACCTGAGTTTGAACACGATGTCATTTTCGCGAGACTATCTTCGAGCCATCAACTTCTATGAGTGGCGCCGCGGCACTGGGGCAACAGCCCACGACATCAAAGGGGGGAAGGCACCACTTTTACCGTACATCGCTAGTTCGCTCGCTTTAAGAAAGGAGATACGGGCTTCAAGACAATCTTCTGTCGAGACGCCCCCTCGCCGTCGACGACCCCGTCATTCTCGACACCGTCATAAAGCTAACTCCCGCGGTCTCGCGACGCGATGGTTGTGCCCGATCATCAGTCGTCGGTCGCCTTCAGGCCCTCGGTTACAGAAACGTGCTGACTCGATGGATACCTCATGTATTGACTGATAGCATGCGGTACGCCCAGGTATCCATATGTCAGTCTCTCCATCCCCGCCCTGCAAGGAGTTACTGGAGAAAACAGTTACTGGAAGCGAAAGCTGTATCCTTTACGACGCCAACAAGCACCGCGCCGTCTAGCTCCCGCGAGGAGAACAGCCGCCGAGGCAAGCCAAATCCGACCTCCACCCCAAAAATTTTTTCCTTCGCTGCTACTGGGATTCAAATGGAATGCTCTACTACGAACTGCTCAATCAAGGCCACACCGTCACCGTTCAGGTGGTTTTGCCCCTCGGATTACCACTGGTCTGGCCCCTTAAGGCTTTAATAGCAAAAAAAAATAACTATGACCGTCAACTATGACCACTTTGAGCAGGGGATTGGGGCCTTTTTGGCTACCAATCTTCCCAGTACTGGGAGAAGGGAATCGATGAATTGCCTGTTAGGTGGGACAATGTTAACGTGTTGCTAACGTATTGTTGATTAGCTTGTGTTGTTTCCTGAGTTGTAGGATAGAACAGGAAAAATCTCAACCTTATCAAAACTTTTCGACCAAGTAATATTTTGTTTGATCTGTTTTGCGACGAGAGTTTGGCGAAGAAACTTATTTTCGCTCATGGGTGATGTGTGCTGACTGCGTAATTGGGGCCGTATGGTGGCTAGCAAGACAGTCGCAGTGGCGACCACGTAACCCCACAAAGGTTTACGCCTAGCCGGTACTCCGTCATTTTCAGCCCAACCTCATCTCTTTTTTGTTGAATAGTGAAGTTAAATAAACAGGCCATGGATGCAGTTCACTTCAGATTCCTATGCGCTCATGTGACTAAGTGGAACAGAAGGAACTAGACTCGTTGCCAGCGCTTTGCAAGTTCATCCCTACCGGTATGCAGGGAGAGTTGGAGATATTTTCCTCGTATATCGATAATTTCGCGATATCAGAACGCAGTACTCTAAATAGAGAGCTGGAATCTACCCTCATGATCAGGCTGTTGTGACCGGAGCTGCTCACATCATTGCAACCCCCAAGTCGTCTGCTGACTTTCACCCTATACCGCAAGAGATCATGCAGTGATTGCAGTTACCGACGGTTTTGCATGATATTGTGTATTATAGATTAGAGAACTGCTAGGGGAAAAGCTGAGTTCCAAATCCAAGGCAGTTAGCGCATGGTTGGAAGAATAGATATTGTCAAGCACTGTAACCCTTGGTGCCCAAATTATCTCCACATCCACAAGCTGTAGAGCTGCTCCCGAAACACACGCAGCTTGTGTGCGTGATCCGCCGCTTCGCTCTTCATCCACCAACCCGTTGAACCTTCCCTGCAATCAGCTTTCCAATTTCGAATGAGTACTTTTCAAGTGAGATATTTTTCAGTGAGATAGACAGTTTTTAATGCTTTATTTGTGGACCCGACAATTGTTAAAACACTATGCAATAAAAAGTCAACTACAAGTGACGACGGAAACGAAGGGTATTGCTGTATGCGAGGCCGTCATTACCTCCCGCACTTATTACTGGTGATGGATTCTGTGCTTCGGCTTCATCATACTTGGCATTCGATTGAACCTGCTGAAATGATTTTGCTGTTAAAAAGTATGTTCTCTTAAAAGTGATAAAAACATACCACGTCGCCTGTCTCAGGAGGGGGGCCTGACACTGGAGCTGGAGGAATGCCTACTGCTGTCGGTACAGGTGGAGAAGGAACTGGTGGCGATGGTGGTGGAGCAGCCGCCGGTGGTGGTGCTTGAGCTGGAGGTGGTGGTGGTGGAGGTGGTGGCGGTGGTGCTTGAGCTGGAGGTGGTGGTGGAGGAGGAGGTGGGGGTGGAGCAGCCGCCGCTGGTGGCGGAGGAGGAGGTGGTGGTGGTGGAGCAGCCGCCGCTGGTGGTGCTTGAGCTGGAGGTGGTGGCGGTGGTGGAGGTGGTGGAGCTTCGACAGGTACACCTTCGTTGTTGTATCCTTGCTGGTCACCTCCGTCAGACGAGATCGGTGCAACGGGAAGAGGTTGCACCTTCTCGGCATCTTCGTACCCTGAGCTTTGTGACCCACTCTGGGCCATCACAGAAGCCGCCGCTGCCAAAAAGATAAGGCAGCGCATCTGTAATGATAAAAATTTTGCTGATGATTCTAAGGAGCAAGAGCTTAAAGACACGTAAAGTCGCTCGATAGGCACTATATGAACTAGAAAATTGATGGTTAAGTAAGTATTCTTAAGGTTCACGCAGAACTCAAGTGAGATACAGTTGCGGGTCGTACGGCAGTATTTATACCCTTCGCTTTACACCAATAATTCTTTTCGATTCTCAAAGTTTTTCGCGACGATTCGCGCATGGCACGAGGGAAAGTAGGAATCCTTTTTCTGCCTCGAGGTAGAAAATGATCGAGAGGTTGAAGGTGGACAAGTTATCATGAATCATCGATTTCATGACCAGCTTTTGCAATGCAGGCTATTCCCAACGTTCCTACGGTATCCACTATTTGCGATGTTTCATTAAGATTGCTATCTATACCCTAATATTTCAGTTTTTTTGACTGCACTTGAACCACGATCTGGTATGTCCGAATTTGCGTATACTGTAAGAGACTTGCACTACTTAAACTCTAATGAAGGATGTTGATGGACTGTGTTATGGATGGTCGGTTTCCAGGCCTTAATACAAGTAATATGCAGTACCAGTACTATTTTGACGATGATCGGCTTAGAATACTAATTTGAAGCCTCTCATCAGTGGCACTTTATTCCTTACAAGTGAACCTGCACATGTAACAGTACTGAACAATGTTACAGAATGACGTAGATTCGGTGCTTCTGATTTTCTCGGCTCTTCGGAGCTTCCCAAATCTAAACTACGTTTGAACTCCAAACTTACAGGACCTTTTTTTGCTCATTTGGTCAACAGTCTTAATTCTACATTACATTCTTATAAGTTAGTGTCTTTCGGAGCTTATCTGACGCTTCATAAATTGTCGATTCCCCCCATAGGATGTTTTCTCATCAGGAATGTGTAAATGAAGTGTAACTATGTATTAGATATTATCAATAGCTAATAGGTCTTGGCACTGATACGAATCAGACTTGGCCGTCGCCTTTGTTTCATTTGTCCCGTTCTTACGTAGTTTTCCCCCGTGATGCCAAGGTCAGGTAATGTCTGGGAACTCTCTAACCCAACCCGTATCGCCATCTATCAAAGAGTGATCATTGAACAGCTGAATGATAAATGGCAGAGAAGTACCGAATGACACAGTAACAGAATAACATTCTTGACAGTGATGCATAGAGAAACGTATGTAGTGGTTTATTAAGGATCCAGTTATTTGACCGGGGCTGATGAAGGACCGAGTTGTTCGAACCTCAAAATGACTATAATCAATGGGATTTGTTAGCATCAAAACACAAGAGCTCATCTTCACACAAGTATGTTTATCTGTGAAAAACAGCAGAACTCCCTTACCACCGTGTCGGCCGTAGAAGCAGGTACTAACTTCGGCGATTTTGTGAATACAGGGCTTCATTGACCTATCTTTTTCAGTATATCAAGTATAAACGTAGGTAATCTGCATCAGAAAANNGTATATCAAGTATAAACGTAGGTAATCTGCATCAGAAAAGCTAATGTCGCTCATGTTATGGCTAACGTTCGCCTTGGAATAGTCATAGCAGTGATTACGATTGTTGTCATTATATTTTTCACTTTGAACCAATATTTTTAATAAATTTTGACAGTTCCCTATATTTTCTTATGTTAGTTGTATTTAGGGTATCTATTAAGTAGACAGAAGAATAATTCAATTCTTTTTTATTAATTCATCTAATTATTTATTTACTGCTTAGCAAATATGGGGGTTGAATACACTACATAGTCTAACTGCTTACTTGCTCGTCTAAACTATTACTTTCCAGAGAGGTGCCTGTCCGTTCAGGAATTTACAAGCGCATTCCGACGATTCTCATCGCAACACTTAACTCGCGCGTAATGTGGTAATTCGGTAATTTGCTTTTTGACGGGTCAAAGATCTTCTTCTCTGTGACGTATTAAAAATACGCGATTTCGATTTTATTTAGGGCATTTTCTACTCGCATTTCGTCTCAGTCCAGTCTTCGACCAGCATTTCGTCTCAGTCCAATCTTCGACCAATGTTTTTCCAAAGTCAAAGTCATACTGAAGTTTCTGACGCTACTTAATCGAGCTTCTTCCGTGAGGTGGGCGGATGCATGCCTACATGCGATTGCGCATGGAAGCAGAGGTGATTTTCGATCATTATAATCCGATAACACTGAAAGGAAAAGAATTTGAGCAATGAATTTGAAATGAAGGAGAAATTTTGGAAAACACACGAAGTAGCAGAAAACGAATATATGTGCTAATACTCACCACCTCATTTCCTTGCAGCATTCTTGGTCTCCACTCTTCTAAACCCTTTCTCTGTAGAGATTCAGGATATCGCAGTCGGAGCACCTTACGTGAAATCAACTGATCGATCGTTACAGCTCTTCACACCCGAACGGGAATTTTTTTAAGGAGTTCCACCGAACTATACGTAAAATAGTAAATAAATGCTTGAGGATGGTACACCACTGCTGATTGACGGGAAATACTGATTTTCTATAATCGCTGTCTCGTAGAACTAAAAAAATTGGTTTTATTTAGGTCAAAAGACTTTGACCATCTGAATAGCTCTGTGGGAGGTACTGTACTCAGGGAACGGCGGGTGTTTGAATTTTCCTGACGTTAAATTGAAGTAGTACAGAATGGAAAATTCTGTAAGATCACTGAAGTAAATGGACTAGAAGCTCTACCTGGAAGGTGAGGATCACAATTGGGTGGTCTTGGAAAGAAAGGCTGCGGTTTGAAGGCTCTTACCGGGCTCTTCCCCCTATTGAAGCCTTCCTATACCAGTAAAGATGGTATACTAAAACTCGTCATCACATTTCATTCGCAATTATGGTGGTCTCCACCTTTTTGGGTCCTGTCTTTATGAGGATTGAGGAGTTTGCAATCGGAGCACCCGATTTGAAATCAACCGATCGATCGTCACAGGTCCTTCACACCAAATGGCACCAAAAGGAGTTTTTTAGGACTCCCACGGAACTATACGAAAAATAGTAAATTTGGGAGCGATCTTGCCAGTAGACTCGGAAAAAGTCTTTAAAGGCAAACTTCGTCATCTTCTTCTCCTTGTCCGCACCGTCCCAGATCTTCTGATGGCGGGAATCGACAAAAGTACGGAATTCAAGTAGAATTACGAAAAAACAGATCTTACCAATAAAAAAGGAATACGGTTCGAGCAAAACTGTGCTGTTATTGAGTCCATACCGAACTTTTCTATTTGCCCCGTATCTACAGAACAATGCCGAGGCAGGTTTATTTGAGCCTTCGAAAATGGCGTAAACTCGATGAAACGACAGGTGAACATGCGAAACGCAAAAACAGTCACTTTTCCAAAAGCTCATAATCAGTTACGGAATATTTGCGCTTTTTACCTCAATTCAGCCCCGCTGCGCAGAACAGCACCAAAGCAACGAATATAAGCCAGGTAGAGAACGAATTAACACACTCCTTCATTCTATTTTAGAGAGGAGCCCCTCTTTTCTCGAATAAATCGTATGGTGCTCTTCTCGTGAACTTCTTTTTACTCAAAGATGATTTTCAGAATGAAAATTCTCGTTTTTCTTCTCATGGCTGTCACGGCGGCCCATCCTGGTTTGATCTGGATGGAGCTTTTTCATCCACCATTTGTGATGGAAGTTAGCTGGCAAGCTCAACAAGGCTATTATAAAATTGTCTATAATCAAGATCTGACAATTGCTCAACAGAAAAAGGAAGTGATGCTCTGGGCAAAGAAATACAATCTTGCGGTATGTGGGAATGCCATTGTCAACGAAGACATACCATTCCGATGACGTGAGGTGAGCGTGTTCCAGAAAGAAGTGATGAGCTTCTTCGGAAAGTTCGAAGAACACATAGACAACTAACCAGAATCTAGCTGAACTGGTTGGAGAACTACCAAAAACACTCAAAAGCCTCACAAAACTAATGAAGAATGAGAAGCAGACAGTGGCGGGTATGAAGAGGGCTAGGGACAAATTAAAGTGGAGCACCTACAGGTGAGATGAACAAATACCGTTTAATCGCAAATACCTGCGCAAAAACAGAGTAACGTTTCGCAGAACAAGAATTGAAAAACCGGCCTTTACAGGCTTTCCATGTGCTGATGATTGGTATGATGGAAGTCACGCGCAGACATGGTCCACGTGGGCCTGACCCACAGCGCTTAGATGTAAGGTAAAAAATGCCCAAAATGCTTCTAGTCACTACAAAAAAAATTCCAAAAGGTAAGGGGTGAGGGTAATCAATATATATTAGATCAACCCGGTAACAAATATTTCCTATAATCATGCGGTATCATAAGTGATGGGCCTGAGCATTAACACGTATAAAAAAGCAAACACCGATTGCAATATCTAATGTAGTCTATTGCTTCACATGTGATGGATGCGAAATACAGTACCTAGGAATGACTGAAAGAAAAGTAAAAGCGAGGAGAGTGGAACAGTTGAATAACATTTGTAGCCATAGAGTCTGATGATAAAACATCTCTTTCAGAAAAGGAGCTGTCGTGGAATCAATTCCTAATGACTGCTCGCCCGTTTGGGCTGGACGATTATTTTAAAGATTATAGTAAAATAAGTGATATTGATAACGCACTGATGGAAAAGAATAATCCTCTCATCTTGTCAATCGAAATCTCTAGGGAGTAAAGAAGTAGAGGAATACGCTGTAACAGAAGGAAGAGGAGAAAAGAAAGTATGTAGAAGTCTCGGATGAACTGGTAATAGAGACGAGTCCCACATATCAATTCAGCACTATAGACTGCCTAAAAGCCTGCGTAAGCAAGAAATTAGCAGAATAATCACACTCTCTTTATCTCCTGGCTTTCACAGATAAATAAAACACAAATCTAGATTTTGATATTTTGTTTGCTAGCTCATTTTTAATATAATATCAACATAAGTAAAAAAAGACAAGAAATTCAATAATATAGTTATCACCTTTTGCAGTAGAAATTTCAGTGAAGTAATTTCCCATCGAATCTTTA